ATCCATCATTGTGACTCGTCATGAGGGGTCTTTGGGCTGCACTTTGTCTGATCCCTCACCTAGGACCTGTTTGCCTTGGGTTACCCTACCAGGGGCATGAAGCCCACGACAACATAGCTTCTAGGATCATTGGGACACTCTCTGCACCATGATAAGGTGGCAGCCCAGGGAGAGGGAATGTGTTCACAGATCTACAAAATTGATTTTACCTTATTGACAAATACAAGTATTCGATATTGCTTACTAGCAGATAATATTTGAAAATAGAAAGAAAATAGAAGGCTTTTTGCTTTTATTTTCTATCTTTTAACTCATTTACTTCCAATTCAAGTTACCTTTCATTTTTTTGTGTGTAGGGGGAGTTTCCTTTTAATTGGACAACCTGGTTTTTAAAGATAAAAATAATATCAAAGACAACTTTCTAAAGTATGTGAAATGAGATTCCTGAAAGAAACTGTGCTGATAAGACATGTTTCCTGAATAATCATGTTATCTGTCCAAACCTGAATCTGAAGTGCTGCATGTATCCGAGCCACATCTCTTCCACATCTCAGGGCTCGGACGCAGATGTTTCTTGTGAGACTTGATTTGTTCATATTGGTAGCAGGTCAGCAGCAGAAGGGCTTTCCATCATGGTGGGTCTGTTTTGTTTGTGGACGTCTCCTCTGAACTCTCTCTGAAAGGTTAATAGACACCGGTTTGGAGCTCTAGTTGCTTCACCTATTGTTCCAAATGCCAGCTGTGTAAGTAGTCACCGGTTTCCTTATCACCACATATTATCTGGGTAATTGCTTTCTGACAGCTGTTATTGTTTGGATGCGGTATTCAGAGTCTGATAACCATTGCCTCCATCATTCTTATGCTTTCAGCCCTGTATGCTATCTGTGTAGCTTTGACATCTATTTGAAAGCAGAATTCAGCAGGTGGATGATGGTTTGTAATTCAAAATGCAAAGGTCTTATTGAAGATTTTTTGGTGTCTGTTTAAGCATCTCAACTCAATATGCTTTGCAGCTAGATGAAAAAAACAATACAGTTAATATTAGTGAGGGATCTGATGATCAGGAATCAATCAAAGTACTGTCTGTACTGTTGGAGTTTGTGCTGCAGATGGACTGTTTTGTATGTTTGTTTATTTCGAAATCTATTTTACTTGGTAGTCCATGAGCCAGAGTAGTCAGTACCACTTGGGGTGAGGAATGCTGATTGTTATTTTTAGGAAGGTCTGCATCCGTAGACAACTATAATACATGATAGTTAAGGAAATTATTTGACTGATAAACTGATTTTTTTTGCAGTTTTTTATCTTACACTTTGAGATCAATTTTAGTAACTTATGTAAACAGTGATGGAATCAACAAGTCTCTATTTAATATGCGTGTCCTTCCACAGAATAAAGACTTGTTTAAGATTTTCAATATTTCTGAGATGACGTTAGAGGAACCACCCCTAGGGCCGTGAATCGTGATGGACCAGTCTCTGTCAAAGGGTTCTGTTGGGTTGAAATTTACTAATATGTTGTGTTTGGAAAAAAATTCTTCTGAATTTTTCCGACACTCCAGCGACATGGTGAATGACGGTTTTGTCTTTGCCCTTTTCCATGTTTTTACCTGCTGAATGTTTTTTGTTTGTTTGTTTGTTTGTTTTTGTCTTCGGTGATTTAACAAAGACCCAGTTTGGATATCCACAGGTTTGGAGAGTTTCTTTGACGTGTTTATGCTCCTTTTCCTTCCCTTCCGTCTTTGTGGGTATTTTTTCGGCCTGATGTTGTAATGTAAGTTTGTGTTTCAGTGGATGATGAGAGTCAAACAGCAGGTACTGGTCTGTGTGGCTAGGTTTCTGGTAAACTTCAATGTTGAGGCTTCACCAGACAGTCCAAAAAAAGGCATCTTGTTGTTATTTGTATTCTCTCTGGTGAATTTGATGTTGTTGTCCACAGCGTTGATGTGTCTACTGAAAGCTTCCACTTCTTTTTCCTGGATTTTGACCCAAGTGCCATCCACATATCTAAGGACACGTAGGCTTAAGCGTAACCAGATGGAAGTTAGAAGCCATTAGACTTTGTGTTCTGATTAAACTCAGGGCAGCGCATGCAGGTGCTTGGTAAAATAGAATTTTTAGATCTGAGAATAAACAGTTTTTACTGGGAACTGGACTTCATTCTCCAAGTATCTATTCGAGCATCCAGTTTTGAACACTTTCTAGCAATAGCGTTATAGCTTTGATAGCCATCCATTACCCGTGTACCGTCAGCTCGGTACACAGGTAAACTCACATAATAAGTTGAGTCGGGTCCCTATTAGCTCACAGATTGCTGCTCATGATAAGGGTTAAATCTCCTTGGAAGTTATTTGGACTCAGGAAGCATCTCAGGGTTCAGAACTCCCCAGAAATGTCTTGGACTCAATAACSCACAGAAATGCTGCAGATTGTGTTGATGATTGAGTTGCTTAACCAAGATGATAAACAATCAGAAATACTGCGGACTCCAGTTGAGTTATACGTAGACACAGTGGCGGGCCGTGCATTTGACATCTATCGTTATAAAAACTAAATTTGCGGGAGTCGATCATAATTTGCACAATACCCGCAGCGACTTTCAGGACCTGAAAATACATTGAAATAAGCAATCAAGTCATGAATGATCAACTTTACAGGTGGTTAATAAACTTTTTTTTACTCCAATGTTTAATCTTATATAATGCAAAGTGTTTTGCTCAGTAAGAGTTTTTTTATTTACTTGGTTCCTTCAGGTCACCTATGACAAATGTTTGACTCACCTTGTGACATTTTAAAGCTGAGCCGTCCATATTACTTCAATCCACTCAGATTAGTTCAACCCTGTGTTGTATGTGTTTTACATGTAACGTCAGCTCTAATCTCCACTTGTCCTTAACATGAGCCACCCATCTCTGCAGCGCTGTGGGGAGGCCAGTGTGGAGGGAGCGCTCAACCAACTGGTCCTGGAGCATCTACAACTGGCTCCTCTGCAGTGGGGTAAGTCTCTCACTGGTGTCTGCATATGGGATTATCATGTACGATTACACACGTGAAAATATCCAACAGTTTGAAGTATAGAGGAAGAGGGGGAAAGGTTTAATTTACTATGCTGTACATTTGTTTTTTTAACAATTTACAAAATAAAACCTTCCTGCATATTTTCAGAAAATATATTTGTGAATCAATGAAAGGGATTTCAGTGTCAACTGGTGTTGAAACCTCCAGAACTGGTCTCAGGCCATGACTTTAATTTACACTTCTAATTGGCTGAAGGCTATTTTGGAGACAAAGACAGCATCTTGGTGAGATCGAAGAAGGTCCTAAAATATCTGAGTCCTAGATGATTCACACATTTCCCATCTGTAATGAAGGCATGAAAGCATGTGTCTCTTCTCTCCTCCTCCCTCTGCAGAGAAAGCAGACACACAGAAATAAATTATCTAGTGGGTAAAAACTGCAGCCACTAAAAAGCATTTGTGTAACTTTTACTTTTTTGGGGGACTTTTTGTAATTTGACGTGGTCAAATAAGTGACATTGTGTGTCTCACATTGTGCATTGTGTTGTGTGCATTGAGCCTTGTGTGGGACAGATACACTGGTTTTGTGTGCCGTGCACATCACACTCCTGTGGCATTGTGTTGGTTCGGATCTTATTGTGGTCTCTGTGGGGTGGGTCAGGTGCATTTGGCTGGTTTTGTGCGCCACGCGCATGATGATCATCGGGGTTCGTACCCTCTGACAAAATCCTGCAGGTGTCCCTGTGGACGTGTGTGTTGGTTTTTTAAGATTGTTTTGCTTGTCTAGTTTTTTTACCTCCACCAAGGGCGAGGTAATGTTTTCGGTTGCGTATGTCTGTCTGTCTGTCAGTCATTCTGTCTGTGGACAACATTACTCAAAAACGTGTGGATGGATTGTCATGACATTAACAACACTTGTGTGTACTGGGCCAAAGAACACACCTTTAAATTTTGGTGATGTTCTGGATCACAATGCGGATACAGGGATTTTTTATTTCTTTCAGCACTCTGAGATCGGCAAAGCTGTGATGCTTTCACAGGGCTTCTGTAAAAAAACAGTGAGCTGGATTGGACAGCACGGACTTCAAACTTTATAAAAGTAATGTTAAAACCACATTTAATGATGAATAATTTTTACCATAATATGCACATTTACAGAACGTTTTGTGACCAGGAAGTGCGTGACTGCACCATGAAACCTATTTTTTTCTCATTTCCTCAAACACACCACATTTCTGAAACAACCAATGAAAACAGTTTGTCTCTACTAGGCTTGTAAACAGAGAGCTGCCGGGCCTCAAAGTTTGGAGACGGGGGGAGCCAGGAAGCACTTTATAAAGAGAGTCAAACCATTGCAAACTCATACAAGGAGATAAAACAGACATTTTACATGGTGAAATGTGACTGATGYAAACTTAGGAGCTTAATCCCACACCAGTTTGACCAGGAATAACGTCAGGTGACCAGTCTGACTTTATTTTTTCCCACATTGGACTCCACCAGAAGAAATCCCATCATACTGCTGCTTAAATGTTCACTACGTCAGAACTTATTCAGTAAATGTGTTTCATCTCTGCTTCTGTGCATTAACTCTTACAGGATGGAGGAAACTGGTCTTGGTGGAGGTTTGCACTCTCCCAGTGCTTCTAGTTATTTATTTTTTTGTCATGAGTCCTAACCCCATCTTATCTTTTCTCCTTCAAGATCTGTTGGTGAACGAGAAACCATGTGACTGTGATGTCATAGCTGATTGTGAAGTGGGCAAAGCTGTGACCCTGGAGGTCAAACTGACCAACCTGAGCAAGAAGTCAGTGGGCCCGTTGGCTCTCACCGTGATGCCCTATCAAGACTATCAGAACGGAGTCCAGAACTATGACCTGGATGAAGAAGTCACCTTCATTGGCTCCAACACCTTCTATATTGAAAAGGTCCGTTTAAGCCAGTTTATCTGTTTGAACATCAATTCAGTTCAATTTTTCAATTCAAAAATTTATTCATTTCATTAAAAAAATACTAAATACAATAAAAATAAACAAAAACCAAAAAAATATCAAAAATAAAATAAAATGAAAGGTAGCAGAAGAAGAATAAATGTTATTATGTCTGCCCCTTTTTGACCCAGAATATATTCAAATGAAACATAATTTACAAAACAATACTAAATAACATAAAATGAAAGAATAAAATAAAAATGATAAAAACAACAACAGCATAACATTGTTAATTTATACTCTCGTGAAATCATCTGAGTCTTTCTAGATCCTTCAGTTCCTTCATTATTGTTGCCTGTGAATCTTTCCTAACTTTGATCCAGATGTTTCTGTTACGTGTCCAAGTTGCTGTAATTTTTTCCCAGTGATTTAGCCTCATGTGAGATGTTACTATTTTTTTTGTTAGATGTTCATTTATAAAGWCATTTGTTCCCTTCAGTTTCCTTGCCTGCACCATCAGATTATTCCTTGTTTTCCTGCTAATTAATCTGATAATAATAGGTGGTTTGTTATTTCCTGATTTAGTAGGCAAGGTGTGGCAGGTCGAAATGTCCTCAGGTGTGATGTTAATGTGTTTTTGGCAAAAAAAGCCACAACCTGTTGCTCACATATCTTGTCTTTGTAGTGTATTCAGTGGAAAATAAGTAGAAAAGGATGTACAAATCACTGGATTCTATTTTTATTTTTGTTTTACACAATGTCCAAATTTCATTGGAATTGAGATTGTAGCCTTAGCCATTCTAATCWGAAATTTTTTTCCAAAAGCTTTTTGTAAATACAGTAGATGTAAAAATAAGCTTAGAAAATTGGTGATACTTATAAGTCATAAGCTCCGCAGAAAGAAAAAAAATGACCTAAAACCTGGGAATAAAATGTTGATAGTGCAACATAAGATGAGATGAGGTTATTTTTATTGTCTCCTAAGGGAAATTTGTTGCAGGCAGAATTATATCAACTGCAAACCATGCAAACATATTACAAAAAGCCCAGAAATGTAACAACATGATTAGATTAGAGCTATGTTACATTGGTGATAATCCATGGATTTTATATGTTTTTTTGTATTTTTTGTCTGATTTTGCTGAGATGCCTATTAAACAGTTATTACCGTATTTATTCAAGTATAATACGTAAAATTAAATCCATAAAATCATCCATAAAGTTGGGGGGTAGTATTATACTCTGATAAAT